CTCTGCCTCCCGAGTGCTGGGATTAAAGGCGTGCGCCACCACTGCCCGGCCAGATTTTTAAATCTGAACCTGTCTCCTGGTACACTGGTAAAGAGACTTTGACAGGAACATTCCAAGCTTTTGTGTGTTGTGTGTCTGATAATAAGAAACCCGAAGGCTGTGGCGTGTGCCTAGCACTCAGGAGGCAGAAGCAGGTGGATATCTCTCTCTCTCTCTCTCTCTCTCTCTCTCTCTCTCTCTCTCTGAGTTTGAGGCCAGCCAGGGCTACACAGAGAAACCCTGTCTCGAAAAACAAACAGAAACGAAATGGGGTAGGTGGGTGGTAATGATGAGGACTGGAAAATCCACAGCAAGTGAGTGATCATATTTTGCTAATAAACCAGATTGAACTGATTGGTAAGGAATTTATAATAGCCAAGGTGAAGAAAGCAGAGAAACAGTGCTTGTACAATACAAGTGGAGATGGACGTGTTTTAAAGTCACTAAAACATGATTTCAGCATGCACTTGTGAAAGCTCGCTCCATACTAGCTTTATTTACTTAATGTTAAAACCATTTATGAAAGTTGGGCATGGTAACACATTCTCATCCTAGCATTCCCAGTCGGAAGGAGGAGGGTGACAAGTTGCAGCTTAGCACATGACAAAGTCTTGTCTCAACTAAAACAAAGCAAATGTTATTTGTGATCGAATTTATAATCCTGGTCCAGTCTGGAGGACTGTAGTTGAAGAATCTCAGTGGAGCAGTGAATAGCAAGCTGATGCAGTTGTCTGGGCCATGGGTAAGTGTGTAAGGTTGAGACACTTAGAGTTGGGGGTGTGCTGAGACAACATTTAGTAAGTTGCTGTCTCAGCTGTCTGCAACTCCTGCCTCTGCTCCTGAGTGCTGAGTTACACATGTCTCCTACCACTCCTGCTTTAGTGAAATGGGTTTGAGGGCTGCCTTTCTGGGATAAATTTTGAAAGAAATTTGATAACTGTTGACTAATGAAAACATATAATGCTTAAAACATGAATTCAGCCGGGCGGTGATGGCGCACACCTTTAATCCCAGCACTCGGGAGGCAGAGCCAGGCGGATCTCTGAGTTCGAGGCCAGCTTGGGCTACCAAGTGAGTTCCAGGAAAGGCGCAAAGCTACACAGAGAAACCCTGTCTCGAAAAACAACAACAACAACAAAAAAAACAAAAAAACATGAATTCAGGCTGGGTGGTGGTGGCCTGTGTCTTTAATTCCAGCACCTGGGAGGTAGAGCCAGGCAGATCTCTGAGTTGGAGGCCAGCCTAGTCCACAGAGCGAGCTCCAGGACAGGAACCAAAACTACACAGAGAAATCCTGTCTCTAAAAACCAGATAAAAGCAAACAAAACAAAAAGCCCATGAATTCAGTTTATTAGTATATCTTAATCGTAGATTCTATATAATTTTGAAAAGTAAAATCTTCAGTTTTTTTGGCTTTAAGAAAGTGCTTGGTGGTCTTGGTGGCTTTTAGAAGGAACACCACAGCCCAGCAAGCAGCACATTTGAGAAGAGCAGATTGAAGAGACCAGAGGGGAGTTCATTGAAGCAGGGGATAAATCAAATTCTTATTTATTTAATAAAGATGACTCCAGTCTGAATGAAAGCTGACACAGCACATAACTAGATCATGGCACTGAAGCATGATCCTAATTAGTCTCATCAATAAAAACCAGGAGTTAAATACAGGATAATAACCTGAGAGATCAGAGAAGTAGAGCAGCCACCAACAGCTTTTTACCTCTCTGGATCCTCAGACCAAAAGGGGGCTGAGATCCTGTCTCCACCTACCTTAGTCCTTCCTCCACCTCCAGATTGTGCTCGGATTAAAGATGTGAGCCTCCCAAGTGCTGGGATTAAAGGTGTGCACCACCACCACTCAGCCTCTATGGTTAACTAGTGGCTAGCTCTGCCCTTTGATATCCAGGAAAGCTTTATTTGTCAGAACACAAACAAAATATCATACAACAGGACACAGTGATTAGAAGACACACAGTTGAGTGGTTAGCAACAGGCAGAATGGACTTCCAGGTGTGCTTACATCTGTGTTGGTATCACAAGACAAAAGCAGAGCCCAGTGGATCTACATTAGTGTCCTGGCACTCAATGCATAACATTCATCAAGTATAACTTTCTATAAAGGTGTCAGAAACTTAGTTTAAATACAGCTCTTTACTTCAAGTTGGATTTGTATGCTATTTACCCCATTACATATGAGTGTCATCCATTGAGTCACATGGTAAGTGTTTAATTTAGTGTGAGTTTCATTTAGTTAGTGTCTTATGTCAAAAAATGGCATTTACTTTTCCTTTATTGAGACAGGTGTCGTCGTGTAGGCCGAGTTTTATATTGGCGATCTTGTTTCTGCCTTCTGAGTGCTGGGATTACAGTACACCAGATGCCCAGTTGAAACACCCCACACCCGGTTTTTTATCAGGGTTTTAGAGATAACAGTACAAAAAATACTTCTTGTTAAAATTTATAAAACGTTTATTTTCTGTATTGTATTCTTATCTAGCAGGTGTGTTCTGTATTGCTCACTCTCTGGCTGTGAGTTGATCTGGGCTTTTCCATTTATTTTGGTGTTTCAGTGACTGGGGAGGAGAAATAATTTATTGATATATTTTACTTCGAAGTACATAGAGATGTATTTTGTTGTGAAGCAAAATATCTTTGAAAATAAAAATTTTGAGCTGAGCATGGTGATACATGCCTGTTACTCTAGCATTCTGGGGCTAAGGTGAGTAGGTAGAGTTCATGGCCAGCCTGGATTGCACTGCATTTCCTGTCTGAAAAGAAAGAACATGGCAAGGATCAACTGTTTAGAAGCACATTTTACTAAAGTACCTATTCCAGTCATGTTGATTAATTTCAAATTGTAGAATTTTTTGGCAGTAAAGAAAGTTTATCCAATTCCATTTTTAGTCCAGTTACAACGCAGGGATCACAACAAACGCAGCCCCAACAGAGGCACTATGGCATTACCTCTCCTATCAGCTTAGCGGCCCCCAAGGAGACTGACTGCCTACTCACACAGAAACTCATCGAGACTCTGAAGCCCTTTGGGGTTTTTGAAGAAGAAGAGGAACTGCAGCGCAGGTAAGATGTGTGTGCTGTATGCGTGAACTTTAAGATGTTTCTACTCAGTGAATTTTGAGTCATTCTTCACTCACTTCATAGGTCAGGTTACTCTGAATCTATAGACTTGTTTCACACATTGTGTTGATACTAGAGAGAATATGTTTTCTACAGAGAGTTCTGTTGCCTTAATTATGTTTTTTGGGGGATTGAGGGAGCAGAGCAGTTTTGGTTACGGTTTAAACATTGCACATTGGGCAAGTGCTCTACCACTGAGTTACCCTTAGTCAGTTTACATTTGTTGATGGGGCTGCAGATGGCTTAGGCTAAGAACACTGGCTGCTTTTACAGAGGACCTGGGTTTAAGTTCCAGTTCCACATGGTGGTTCTTAGCCATCTGTAACTCCAGTTTTAGGAGATCCAGTGCCCTCTTCTGGCCTTTGTAGGCACAAGGCACACATATACAAAAATCATAAATAAATAAATTTCTGAAGGCTCTTAGTTACAATGTAGAATTGTCAGGAGAAAAGGAAACGCTTTAACCAGTGTTTCAGTGCCAATGTATAACTACCATTAAGTTTCTGATCTCTTATGTGAATTTTGAGACTGGATGTGGTAGCTCACACCTTTAATCCCAGCACTGGGGAGACAAAGGTGGACAGATCTCTGAGTTCAAGGCCAGCCTGGATTATATAGTAAAACCCTATCCATAAACAAAGAAAGAAAGAAAGAAAGCCTATTATGGAAGCAAATACCTGTAATGCCAGGACCTGGAAGTCAGAGAGGATTGTAAATTCTAGGCCATCCTGGGCTATGAGGTTAAGACCATGTCTCAAAAATGAGAACAAAAGTAAAACTTAGTGAGCCACTTAATGTGTAATAATGAATAATTTGATAATTGCTTTATCAACAGGATTTTAATTTTGGGAAAATTAAATAACCTGGTGAAAGAATGGATACGAGAAATCAGTGAAAGCAAGGTAAGGTCCTACAATCAGTTGTCCCCTTTCGAGTAGATTCAGTCTTTTGTGGTTTGTTTGTTTGTTTTTGAAGTAGGAGTTAGCTGCATGTTGCTCTGGAGCTCACTATATAGACCAGGCTGGCCTAAAACTCACAGAGGTCCTCTTGCCTGTGCCTCCTGAGAGCTAGGACTAGGTGTGCCACCACACCAGAATTCTTTTATTCTTAAAACTAGGTTTCTTGTTAAATTTGAAAGAAGCCAGCTGAAGTTAGTGACTTTCTAAAATAATGTTCTCTGGTTATAGCATTTCAAAGTTGGACCCAGTAATTGTGAACTACTGCCCATTCTTCTGAGAATCACTTCAGGGAAGGATTCCCCTGATTAAGGTGGACATGGCACTGGGCAACAGTCCCACCAATTGGAAGATGGAGGCAGGAGGATTGAGAGTTTGAGGTTAGCCTGGACTGGACTGTGTTACGAGACCGTGTCTCTAATCAAACAGTGAAAACAGTTTAAAAGGTTTATGGAGGTGGTGGTACATGCCTTGAATCCCATCGCAGGTGGATCTCTGTGAGTTCGAGGCCAACCTGGTCTACAAAACAAGTTCCAGGACAGTTAGGGCTGTTACACAGAGAAACCCTGTCTCAGAGAAAAAAAAAAGTTTACTGTATTTTTGGAACGTTCCAGGTCTGGATTCAGTTCCTACCATACTTGAATCTTAACTGTCTTTAAAAAGGTCCTGGAATAACTTGATTTTTTTGTTTTTGGTTAATTTTATGTGTGTAGGTGTTTTGCCTTCAGTGTGTCTGTGCACCATGTGTCTGGTGTTTGAAGAGGCCAGAAGGGGGCATCACATCCCCTGGAACTACCTTTAAGATTTTGTAAGCTGTCAAGAGGGTTCTGGGAACTGAACCTGGGTCTTCTGGAAGAGCAGCTAGTGCTCTTAACCACTAAGCCATCTCTAGCCCCCTTGTAGTTTTCCTTTTCCTTGTTCTTTTTCTTTTTTCGTAAAGTTTTTAGTTTTAGATACTCAAAGAGATCATATCATCATTGTTTAGTTATGACATTTCTCTGAATTCATGACACTTTGACTGTACTCATTCACACAATTAAGGAGTCCATTGGTACACTTAATGGTAAAGGAAAAGTTTTTAGAGCTGTGTGGAATGTATTTGACACATTTTTAAAAGTTCCATAAGAAGCAGTAATTTTTCTGCTGTAATAGAAAATGCATGTTTAAGTACACAGCAGAAAAACTGATAGAGAACCAAGGGAAGAAAGATTCATAGGACAGGAGAAGGTATTAACTTACGAGAAAAGTAAGTTACTTGGTTTTAGGTAAATTGATTGTGTTCTTAATACATGTTTATGTATTTTAAACAGCTGATTAAAAATTGGTCAACTGGAACATTCTAAATGGCAATCTTTTGTTTTGTTTTGTTTTGTTTTGTTTTGTTTCTGGAGCTGAGGACTGAACCCAGGGCCTTGGCACTTGCTAGGCAAGCGCTCTACCACTGAGCTAAATCCCCAACCCTAAATGGCAGTCTTTATGTTCCACATTTTTCTTAACAGTTTTTGATAGAAAATTTGGGAAGGTAAGTTTATGAGCTGAGCAAGAAATGTCCAAGCTTAAGTCTTTTTAAATTGAAGTTGGTACTAGCCTTGTGTAGAAAGCATGGATTTATTGGAAGAGCTTTTTCCTTAGATGCTGAAAGACACTAGTGAAGTAGACAAAGCCACAACTGGTTGTGCTTTGGTTTGGTTTTAGTAAGTAGCCCTGTTGGGCCTTGAAATCTAGATAGTGTGATAACTTTGCCTTCCCCTTGGTAGTGCTGGGAGTACAGTTACTTTTTTGCCACCATTCCTGGTCAGAACTTAGGATTTTCATGTAGTCCAGACTGCTCCAGACCTCCTTCCTCCCCTTCCTAGTGTTGGGTTATAGGCGGTGCTAGGATTGCAGGGATGTGCACTGCACCTGCCATCATGGGCACTTTTATTTACTTTGTGTTTTAGTAAGCAGAGCAGAAGCTTTGTATTTAATGTATTCACCCATGCGCAGCGTTAGACTTCACCATTTCCTTCCCCTGACTCACACATCTGTCAGTCATCTTCACCACAGAAAGTCCCCCATTTGCTTTTATGTCATGTCTTGTCTGTCTAGATTGCACAAATGAGAGATGGTATGCAATATTGTTTGCCAGAGTTTGACTGATTTTTTCTTAAAATGATCTTTGGTTCCATCCATTTTTATCCAAAAGATTAATTACATATTTATTTTTAAAGATTTGTTTTTGTGTATGTTTTGCCTGCGCGTATGTCTGTGTGCCATATGCATGCCCGTGCTTGTAGAGGTCCGAGTGGGGTCAGATCCTCTGGAAACGGAGAGCTGGGAACAGAACCCCTGGCCCTCTGCAAGAACAGCCATTGCTCTAGCTCCCTAATTTTATCTTTATGGCTGAATAAACTCTACTCTGTATACGAAATACTAATCTTCTTGTGGAATGTGTAGTTGGGAAAGATGTTTCTCTGTTCTGTAGACTGACTTTTTCACTCTGGTTTGCCTCGCTGCACAGTTTAATTTCATGAAATCTCATTTGCCAGTTCTTTGTATTATTTCCTGAGATCTTGGAGTCTTTCAGGAAATCCTTGCCTGTGCCTGTATTTTGAGACATTCTGTAATTCTGGGAAGATCATGCTGTGTAGTCTAGACTACCCTGAGAGCTAGGGTTGCCTAGCTTCCTGAGAGCTAGGTAGGGTTGTAAGCATTGGGCCATTATGCCTGGCAAATGAGTGAGAATTTTGACACAGTTCTTCTGTGTATCTCCCTGGGAAGAACCCCAGGGTTAAGAAAAATTGTTTGTCTTAACGGACTGAATCTCATTCCTCTGGTTTGGTTTGTGTTCAGTGAATAGCTTGACTCTGGTGAGTGGCAAGTTGATGAAAATGGGGCCTCATAAGGTGAGGCCTGTGCATGGTTTTCCATCCACTGATAAGTCTCCCTGTGCTGACATGGTAGCTTGGGCTGACATGGAACCTGAGGCAGTCTTCCTATGAATATTTTTGGATCTCATTCTTTTTTTTTTAGATCTCGTAATTCTTTTCTATTTCAAACTTTTATTACATTTATTTATTATGGGTGTGGGTGTGTGTGTAGGTCAGAGGACAATTTACTGGAGTTGGATCCTTCTGCCATATGGCCCTAGGGTATTAGTTAACCCAGGTTGTCAGGCTTAGTGGCAAGTGCCTTTATGCACTCAGTGATCTTCTTGATGAACTTATTTTTATCCATTTATTTTTTGAGATGGGGTATCTTATAGGTAGGCTGGCCTCAAGTCGCATATCTATATTTATATCTGAGGATGACCTTGAACTTTGACCCTTATGCTGCTGCATCCCCCAGTGCTGAGGATTACAGGCCTGTGCCACTATCCTGGTTTTATGTAGTTAGTGGTGGGGATCAACCCAGGACTTTATGCCTGCACAGCAAAAGTGCTCTGCCATCTGCTGTTGATACTTTGTTATAGTATCAGTAACGTTTTCATAGTTCTAGAACTTGGGAGTCTGAGGCAGGTGGATTGTGACTTTGAGGTCAGCCTGGCTACACAGTTAAGAACTTGTCTCACAACAAACAACCAGGAAGAAACCCCCTCACTAAATTAACAAATGACAACCCAGAAATAAGCTATTCTCTCATTTGAAGTGGTGTTCCCGATGACGCTTTACTGACAACTGTTGTTTTTGTTCAACAGAATCTTCCACAATCTGTAATTGAAAATGTTGGAGGGAAAATTTTTACATTTGGATCTTACAGACTAGGAGTACATACGAAAGGTAGGTAATACTTTACTTATTTGGAGTTAATAGAACTTGTATTTCTTAAGATTATAACAGTTTTTAGCTGGGAGGTAGTGGCTCATGCCTGAGAGGCAGAGGCAGGTGGATGGATCTCTGTTCTACAGAGCGAGATCTAGGATAGCCAGCGCTACACAGAGAAACCCTGTCTCAAAAAATTAAAAAAAAAAGAAAAAAGAAAGAAAAAAAGTTGAGTCATAAACAAGCTTTGATTAGCAAGGAAGTGAGAATTTTTGAGTCTTAAATTCAGAGGGAGCCTTCTATATCTGATGTCTGTAATGCAGTGAAGTAATAACTCCGTTTACCAGTGGAGTAAACCACATTTTCTGTATTGAACAGCATGGGGTTAGTTGCTGTATTGGAAAGTGTAGGTGCGGAGTAGCTCCCATTGTGTTTTTTGGACAGTTTTCTATAGATTCCTACTTTTTTCTGCAGAGTATCACTGGGTATGAGCAGAGTCAAGGCTCTAAGAAAGTCTTGTCATTCTCTTGTTCTCATTTCTTTATTGCAGATAAGGTTGTAAAATATAGCTTTGCAACAACCAAGCCAATGTGTCCGTAGCTACAGGTTAGCAAAAAACAAGCCAATGTGTCCGTAGCTACAGGTGATCACATTGAATTTTTTTTTAAAAGGGTAACTTTTTTCTCTTTAAAAAATGCTTACTTTTTGTCTATGCATGGCTTTTCTTTTGCATGTGTGTATGAATGTATGTGTATCACATGTGTGACAGGTACCTGCAGAAGCCAGGAAGGGGCATTGAATCCCCTGGATCTGAGTTTAAAGAACTGGTGTGAACAGCCATGTTAGGTGCTGGGAACTAATGTTGGGTTCTCTGCACCACAGAAGCTACCTCACCAGCCCCCAGTAACTAAGTTCTTCATCTTCATTATCTTCTTTATTCCTTAAAAGAGACAGAAGCAGCGTGTACAGCTCAGGTGGAAGAGGTCACACTCTTAAGCCATGTGAATGCCTTGTCGCTCTGTTCTCTCTGTCTCATTGCTCTGTCCTGCTATAGTATGTTTACTTTTGATATGTCCTGTGCATGTGCTTTGTAGGGTGCACTGTAGGGTGACTTTGAGTATGAATGAGTCCTAGTCTTGAGAATTGACCTGATTCTCTCTAGGAGATCTCTCTATTCAAGTTTTTAGTTTTACTACTTTAGCAGAGAAACTGCGTGAAAAGAACATAAAGGAAAACTGGGGTTTGTTGTTGTTGGTTTTTGTTTGTTTGTTTGTTTTGGTTTTTTTGAGACAGGGTTTCTCTGTGTAGCCCTGGCTGTCCTGGAACTTGCTCTGTAGACCAGGCTGGCCTCAAACTCACAGAGATTTGCCTTCCTCTGCCTCCCAAGTGCGGGGATTAAAGGCTTGCACAACTACTGTCAGCTTGTGGTTTGTTTATGAATGACATCAAGACCATGGATGAGTGCTCACCAGGAAAGTCCTGGCTCATCCTTGTTTTGACTTGTTTATGGAGTTCAGTTTAATGACAGTGTGTCTGAAGAAAAGCATGCCCATCAGTTAGTATTACCTTTCCCCACTGACTTGGTTGTATTTGCCAGGAGGATAAAGTTCTAGAGCTTGCCCATATCCCATCAATTAATATCAAATACTGTTAATGCTAAGAAACAAGGCAATTTTTTTTGTGCTACTGTGTGATGGATGAATTTTTTTTTTAAAGGTGCTGATATTGATGCATTGTGTGTTGCACCAAGACATGTTGATCGGAGTGACTTTTTCACCTCATTCTATGATAAATTGAAATTACAAGAAGAAGTAAAAGACTTAAGAGTATGTAACTATTGGGGCAAGAGAGGAAGGGTTAAAAACATACCACTTAGTCCTTTGAGAGAACTTTTATGTTCCAGGTAGAGGAATCACTGGTTGTGCTGTTCCATTTTGCCAGGCCATTTTGAGCATTCATCATGTGTATTTTACAACAAAACTAGAATAAACCTATAAACTCCTTAGACATTAAGAAATAGACGCAAACACAATGAGTAGTAAGTAATCTAAGAGCAGCCACATCCTGTGACAGAAAAGGATTTTGACTGTTAAGGTCATTGCTAAGAATTTGTTTATTTTTGGGCATTATGCTAAATTATGTTGAAACAATTTCAAGTGCCTCATTTAAAAAAGTAACCAAAATAGCCACATGTAGCACACCTGTAATCTGGGCCCTTGGAAAGTACAAGCAGGAAGATCAGAAGTTCAGGATATTTTCAGCTGGGTGGCTGGTTTGAGTCCAGGTTGGTCTAAATGAGACCCTGACTCAGACAAACTAAGTGAAAGTGTAGTGAAAGCATGTACACGAACTTACGATGAAGCTTCAGGAACTAAACTTGTTTGCTTTCTCACAGGCTGTTGAAGAGGCATTTGTACCAGTTATCAAACTCTGTTTTGATGGAATTGAGGTAAGGTCTAGTCCTAGGGGGCAGCTTTTGGTATGGACTGTCCTGGATTTTGGTCAGTGTAGATACAAATTTGATTGCCAGAAAGAATTTGAGTTGGTTGATACTAAGAATTTTTGTCATGGAAATGGGTGCCTGTTCTTGTAGAATAGCCCTGTTAGGTTCTTCTGACAGCGAGTGGAAGTATGAGCTGAAGCAGAGGAACTGGGACTGGAGGCTGCTGTAGAACAGTTAGGGATAGTTCGTTCGTTCACATGTGATTTGTGTGTTCTGGGTCAGGCCCTAAGTCCACAGTCTGATTTTGAAGTAGTAGCTTTTCTCTTTTTGTTCATTCGGTGTGAGCTGGCATTGCTTTAAGTACTTCGCTGGAGAGTTAATGCGGTGTTTGCCTTTCCTGCTTCTGTTTCTGGGGAGTACAGAGGGCTGTTGGTGCAGAGCTGCTTCTTAGATACTTCTGATTATAAAACTTGACATACTGAAAGAATGATAACTTGGTGTTTTGTTGTTTTTGTTTTTTAATGTAGTTGGGGGGGTTAGTTTTTAGAATTGCTATATAAGGTGCCTAACTTTTATGAAAGGTTAAACTATCAATTTTAACAAGTAGCCAAAATGTTAAGTTTGGTTAAGTAAGAATTTTTGTATGCTTTTTTATTTATAGCCAGTATTTAAATATAAAACCATAATTAAAATATAAGGTGACATCCCATTTACCTACTGGTTTTGCTTTCTTTTTATGTGAAAATAAATGAATATGTGAGCTCCTTTCTGAGTTCAATGCTACTGTATCTGCGCCACCCCAGACAGCCCTCTACTGCTCCACAGAAGCAGCAGGAGAGGCAAATACCAGGGTGGGGACTAACTCTCCTATCAAAGTTCTTATCTCATATTTTGCCCCTTGAAATATGCAGCTAGCATAGCATACAGCTCCAACAGATTCTAAACCAGAAGTTAATTCCAGTGTATGCATTTAGCAAAATGAGTAGATTTCTTGTAGTTAAAATAACATGTGATATATATTAGGTTCTATTTCCTATTACCATTCCTTTAACCTCTGATTAATAGCCTGTGTCTGCAGTGTGGGCTTCTTGTGAGGCCCCTGTATTCATTGCCACCTTCATGGTCAATGAAAGAGAGGGCTTTAGGATTTTTTGTTTTTAATAGAAATGCCTTAAAATTAGTTTGACATATATGGAATGTTAGATTTTATTTTTGTTTTAGATTGATATTTTGTTTGCAAGATTAGCACTGCAGACTATTCCAGAAGATTTGGATCTACGAGATGACAGTCTGCTTAAAAACCTAGATATAAGATGCATAAGAAGCCTTAATGGTATGTAAAAGCCTGCTTGCTTTTGTGGAGTTGGAGAGCTTTTTTTTTTTTTTTTTTTTTAAATCAAATAGTAAATAACAGTTTTTAAAACGTATTCTTTGTAATAAAGGTGTTTGCAGCCAGTTATTATTGCATTATTAATGCATGATGAATATAATAAAACATTCTTTACCTGGTAGACTATAGAGCATTGTCTGGTAGTTTATTTGCTCACTGATGACCTTACAGTTTTTCCTGTTACTAATGGTATGTGAGTTCCTAAAAAGACTGACATCTATAATGTTGCTAGTAATTGAAGTTTTCCTGTGTAGTCTTCATTAGTTTGCACTTGATAGTTACTTTATAATGTTATCAGATTAGTGAAAAGGGTTTTCTCTTTAAAAAAATGTTAGAATAGCTCATTACCAGTACTTTGGGACAAATGTTAGAAGCTTAGATGGACTAACTCCTCAGGGCATCTGGACAGGAAAAGGCTCAGTTATGAGTTAAAAGTTTGGGCTTAGACAGCCTACTACAATGTGTTAGTTTTGGTTCAGGATGATGGTTGGGACAGGAAATAACTACCTTATTTATTTCATGCCTTTTAGCTCTGCTGAATCACATACTCATTCTGCCAAATAAGATTTTAATTTAAGGATAGTCTTAGAAATTGAGTGGCACTATCCTAATACCTTTGATAGCTTAATGTTCTGTTTCTCTCACTCCTGTTAATCAGGTTGCAGGGTAACCGATGAGATTTTACATCTAGTACCAAACATTGACAACTTCAGGTTAACTCTGAGAGCCATCAAACTGTGGGCCAAACGTGAGTTCAGAATTTGTTGGCTAGCTTATTAAGAACATTTAAGCTCTTCATCAACACTAACTTATCTTTTTGCTTTTCCCTTATCAACAGGGCACAACATCTATTCCAATATATTAGGTTTCCTCGGTGGTGTTTCCTGGGCTATGCTAGTAGCAAGAACTTGCCAGCTTTATCCAAATGCAATAGCATCAACTCTTGTACATAAATTTTTCTTGGTATTTTCTAAATGGTATGTTTTTAGATTATATTACAATAAAATTGATTGTAGACACTGAAGTTTAGTCTTATTTCTATGACATTTCTACAGCTGGTTTCAGATTCCAATTTTAGTTTGTGGGCTGAGGGTGTAGCTCAGTGGTAGAGTGCTTGCCTGGCATATTCAAGGCCTTGTATTCAGTCACCATCCCGCCAAAACCAAACCAATTTTAGTTCAAGATACAGCTATCGTTTGGGAAGAGACATTGTCTATGAAAAGGCAAACCTAAACTCCGTTTCTTTTTCCTAGTTCTGCCAGGGTCATAAGGCAGATAATACCTGTGCTACTTGTGTGAGCCTACCCTCCAAATAAACTCTGAACTTTAGCTACTATAATGTGTGCTGGCATCTGATGTGTTAATAGGTGGTTAGAACTTACACACACCACTTTTCATCCTGAATGCTTCTAAACCCATAAGCCATCGTTTTTGTGATTACATTTTGCTTTTTACATTCAGCTGTTCTTTATCTTGGCAAAACCTTAAAGGTGTCACTTTTTATAAGAATTAAAAGCAATATGTTAAGTGACTGAAAAAAATGTAGTCTCTGAACCCTTTGAGACTTGTTAGCCCAGAAGAGATTCATTAAAATTTCCTAATAAAGATATGCATGTTGATGAATTTTGATTTAAGAAAAGTCCAAGATACTGCCAGTTTGTGGTGGTTACCTTGACCGAAAAAGTGAGGGTTTTAATCATTATCTTAAAGAGATTTGTCTTCTATATTTTCAACTCCTTCCTTTCTTCCATGTGAAAAAAGAATTGTTCTTTTGTAGTCACTTTGTAACAGCTAGACTGAAGGGATATAATTTATAATCACACTGGATACTTTCCAGTTTAGTTCTGGTGCTTTGCCTTTGTCACATAAAGTGTGATAAGGTCAGAGACTTAGAATTTGTAAGGCAATACACAAACATTGTTAATAAGCTGGCTTGGTTCACACTGAGGAAAAAAACATTTTTCATCTTTGATCTCTATAAGTGACTGAAGTAGCATTCATAGTAGTATATGTATAGCAATACTGTATCATATAGAGTAAAATATGGGAAGCACTGACCTTGTTGACTTTTGCCGTTATTCCTAGCACTTTGACTGTAGTCAGAAGTAACTTATATGTCCGTGGATGGAACTAGTGTGAAGACAGGATTTTTTCCCCCCTCTAAATAATATTAACCTTGTTAAAGGTTGAGGTGAACACATTAGATGTCTTGAGATGGCACTTTTATTTGCATAGTGCTTTATCTGTTCTCTGATGGCAGAGCAGGTGTTTAACATGAGTTGAGAAAACCATTAAATGGTTAATTTTATGGAGGAATATTATGTCAACAGAAAGGAATGAGAGGCTATGGTGTATATGCCAAGTGAGTGAAGTAGGGTCACATTCACAAATGCTGTATGTTTAACAAAATACGTTTAGATGCTAATGTCCAGTAGTCTTATCAAGTGCTACAATCTTTTTGAACAGGGAATGGCCAAATCCAGTGCTATTGAAACAGCCTGAAGAATGCAATCTTAATTTGCCTGTGTGGGACCCAAGGGTTAGTGTATTATTTTTTCCCCTACAAATTCACACTGTTCAATAACAAAAGTCGCCTGCATAAACTTCCAGGAGGCCGCCCAGTTCTTACAAATGAGTGGACACGCTCGCTCATAGTACCCTTGTAGATGACCTGCTCTCTATTGTGCCCTGGTGTGAGAAGTGTAATGATGTACCCTGTAAACCACATCTAATGTACACAGTGACACAGATATCACTAACAACTCATTCCATAGAGAACTATCTTTCTTGTAAGTCAAAGTTGTGTGGGTGTTTGTGCTTAAAAAATAAATAAATAAAAGGATACTAAAAATCCCTGTATATTTTTTATTATATTTAAGTATTTTGTTAAAATTGGCTTGTTGCAGAAAGCTCTTGCATAATGTTTCTGTGTAGCAGATGGCTCCTAAGCACGATTGCAGTGACCGTGCTGTAATTGTAAAAACCTGTTTAGATGCTTTACAGATGCAGAAACGTGTTGGCTAAGGAAGAACATCCATTTTGTTGAAGTTACAGAGAGCATTTACTGTTTATACTTTTTAGGTGGTAGTAACATGAGTTGTATTAATTGATAAAAGGAATTAATTTGAATCAAAACCTTCTAGGTTTTTGAGATAATTTTTAAAAATTAATTTGTTATTAAAAATTGTTGGGCTCTGCCCCAAGCTGTGTGCTTTCAAGTTGCTTAAGCTTGAAAGTATTTAAGGGAGATTGAGTTGTAGTTGCCTCTGTGGGGATGAGCTACTTAGTGTATAGATGAACAGTCACTAAATCATCCTACTGCCTCACCAGCCCAGAGCTGTTCTACTCTGTGTTAATAAGCTTAAGCTTCTGATAGCTGAAAGGTTGGAAGGTCAGTCCCATCTTGTTTAAATGGAGTTTTATAAGTAAGAACACTCAAAAGTGTAATTCTGCAGGCACCCTCATTTATGCTGCTGAATGAGGAAAAGCAGTAGATTTGCAACTACATCTTTCTGTTTTGCTTTGTTTTTGCCCAGCAGGTGCATGCAGGCAGGTTGCAAGGTAGCCATTGCCTCCAGCATGGGAACAGACTGTTGACTAGATCTTTCATTCTGTAAAAAGTTTCTATAAAACAGTCTCCTGACATGGTTTTTATTTCTCAACTCCAGCTATGAATGAAGTAAAATGTAATCATTGGTTCTGTTTAACAAGGGGTAAAAGTCCAAGTGTCTGTTGTATATATACTTGAAGAAACTGATTGGCTGTTGTTGTATGTAGGTAAACCCCAGTGATAGGTACCATCTTATGCCTATAATTACACCAGCATACCCACAGCAGAACTCCACGTACAATGTGTCCGTTTCAACACGGATGGTCATGGTTGAGGAGTTTAAACAAGGTAAGTGTTTCTGCTTCTGCTCTACTTTATACACAAAGGGTCTGCCTACTGTTGCAGACCCAACAGTTAGCTAGTTGTGCAATTTAACTAAATTACCAAACTGGATTTGTGCATTTATTTTGATCACATATTGCAGAGTAAGTTTAAGCAGTTTACTCTAACAGAATTGTTGGAAGATGAAGGTACACTTAAAGACATTATGGCCTGGTTCAGGGCTGTATCAGAGCCTTGTAACATTAGAGCTGATGCCATTTTGTCTTCATGGGTGACACAAGGGATGGATGGGCCTTTTACACCCCTAGGAAAGAACTTGGAGTGTAGTTAGGGCCCAAAATTTTCTGCCTTTGAGAAGATCCTTGACTTGGGGCCCCAATTTATTATAAATTTAAAGATATTGCTAATTGGTACCTTAATTATAAGGTAGAAAAGGCAATGTACAGTCTTCAGCCTTAAATTGACAACTCTTAACTTCATGCAAGAAAGCTTTTTAATGGGAAAGGCTTTTTGGCGCGTTAGAGATAGCAGTAACGTGTTTTAAAAAGACAGAAACGTGGAAGACTTTCTTTCTCAGGTAACGACTGCTTTGGTTTGAGCAAGCCTTCCTTTGAGCATGACATTTTATTAATAATGGCACTTTACCAGGAATGTGGTTCGCAGAAAATGCTCTAGTGCTTTTGAAATGTGTAAGGATGTGCTCTAAGGGTGTAAAATAAACCTTCCATTTGTTAATGTTTAAGATTATAGTGAATGCATGTGGTATGTTTAAAATTATTTAAAATTCTAGATTGCTAGGTTGAAACATACAAATATTCTAATATGTTTTTAATTTAGGTCTTGCTATCACAGATGAAATTTTGCTGAGTAAGGCAGAGTGGTCCAAACTTTTTGAAGCTCCAAACTTCTTTCAGAAGTACAAGTATGTATTTTAAGGCATGTCAGCCATGTTGCTCTTAAGTAGTGGTTTTACAGTGGCCTATGTGGTATCTTCTCTTGCCAGATTAGTGAACTTTGGAGTCTCTCCTTCGGTGTCTGTAGAGTTTTCCTTACTGTTGCAAAGGACTTAGGAGTTTTAGTCAACTGTTGTTTTTCCCTTTATCAGTACAATGTGTCAGCCTTAGAGTTTTGTTGCTTGATTGACCTAGCATTCCTACTGTGTGTTAGCAGCTTAGTTCTAGGTGTGTCACTTGTCACCAGGACAGTCTGCACCTTAGCAAGCAGGTGAGCTTTTCACTATCTGATTTCTGTTCTCTCTCAAGAAACTTTTTACATTTAATTCCGACAACTTACAGGGGTATTTAAAACATGCACAGACCCAATAAAATGTCAGTGTTTGGCTGATTTAATGTTTCTAGTAATTAGTAGCACATCATTGACCTACTATTTCCCCTTTCAAAAAGAATATGTCTGCAGTTTCTAACAATTTAAGTGGGTATAATTTTTATTAATGTCTTTAATACAATGCTTTAACACCTTAGAGGTTAAAAGCCTTGTGAATTGTGATGTGTTGAAAAATGTAAGTTACAATAAATTTTAAAGAAATAACAAAAACCAAATATGGACTCGAACTTTTATTTGTCCTGGGCTGAAAAATTAGCAAACTCCCACTTAAATTTTTTTGCTTTAATGCTTGAGACTTTCCTGACCATTTGATTTTGTGTTGGATTGTGTTTTGTTACAATAATTTAAGCAAAATTACTTTATACTTTTCCCAAATTAAAAGTAAGAATGATGACCCTCATGATGTCTCCGTGTTTTGTTTCTGTATTTGCATGAGAAAGCAGTGATGGAGCCGGTTTAACTGTTGTGTCCGGGAGCACTGTGTTGTCAGGAAAAGTCATAGAAGTAGCCTAGGACCCGAGTGCTTGTGCTTCATTGCTCGTTCTCTAGATTCTACTGTACATTGGTAGATAATCCTCTTTTTTTAATGTCGAGGAAATGACCAATGAGCATTTAGCAATTATATGACAACACTTGAAAACTACCATACACGAGACAGTTACATCAAGAAAAATAAGGCCTCAAAGACAACTACCAATGTTCCTTAGTTACCAAGTCTCAAACTTGAGCACTTCCTTTTCCTATCTCACATCCCTGATTACAAGAGCTGGAGAAAGGGGAGCTTCTGCTTTAGTAGCTTCTTGCGCTTTAGGAAAGGTGAATGCTAGCGAGGAGTAGACTCTCACTCTGCCTTTTATACACTGCCGCTGCTAGGACGGTGGGAGGGGCACTGGTGGTTTCTCAGCACACCCAAGTCTTTGCTCTAGCACCTGTAAGGTTTTAGCTGGCAAAAAGGTTATTAATACTTCTACTGACACCTGAGGCAGTCAAACTTTTTTATTTAAAAAGACTAAAAAGAAGAAGATGTAGCAATACATTTCTTGAACAGAATTTTAAATCCTGACTGTAAGATTTAACTGCTCTGCTCAGACACACTGGGGACTGTCTTAGGCTCACAGAACTCACAGATTCTAGTAGTTTAAATGTGTCTTCATCTGAAACACCTGTTATATATGCTATAACCTGAAGTGGAGTTCGTAGTTTGCTGTAATTGGAAGTTGGTTGGGTTTGTGTAAAGCATGCTGTACTACCTTTATTGTGTGAAATATCTGTTATTCTTGGAAAGGGGGGGACCATAGAGATTTCAATGGTCATAAATGTAAACTCATCCACTTTCAAAGTAGGTGGCATCAGCCTGGAGAAAGGAGTGACATTGTTCTGTAAATTTTCAAAGTTTTAAGAAATATTCTTTTTCTCTTAAGATTTTTAACCTGTTCATTAACAACAAATCTTGGACATTAGGAAATATGAATAATGATTATTTGAACAGGGAGAAATATACAGGGAAATAAGTGTAATGATATATGTATAAAAATTTATCCTTACAATTGATTATAAAATCTGTGTTTGGTGGGGCACATGAGTTATCTCAGTACTTGGGAGGCAATGGCAGGAGGACCAAGATTCAAGGCCAGCCTGAGCATCGTAGCAAGTTCAAAATCAGCTTGGGATAGATACATGAACTCCCCTGCCCCCCCCCCCCCCCAACAGAAAACCAGCACCACACCTTAAAATAGTGAACTATAATTCTTGGTTACAGATTTAAAGAGAACTATAAGGGTTTTTACTAAGGGATAGGTTTTTCTTCCAGTGTTTGGTATCTGAATTTTCATCTACCCAGGTAAAGTATTGAGATGAAATGCCCAAGAAACCTACTTACAAAATCCTTTTTTGGTAAATAACTTTTATAATATAACAACTAAAGTATTTCTAGAACTTTTTATATAAGAAACACCTGATTGAAGTACGTCCTTAGTCCCCAGAACATTTGTACATAAATTTTAATTCATTTGGGATAGCTCATATGTGTGGAAACCTAAAATTTTAGGGAAAAGGTAATGACAATTACGTGAACCTTAGATATTCTATAGAAACATTGGAGCTAGCTGATGCCTGGCAGACATGAAGAGTATCATTTGGTTGGACAACAAAATAGTCTAGAAATCCATCTGGTCTGGAGGGACCTTGAGAATTAAAAATACTAGTTCTGGGTTTTAAAATGCAGAATTTGGAACTAGAAGGATACTCATAAGTTAAGAGCACTGGCTACTCTTCCTGAAGACCTGAGTTCAATTTACAGGACCCACATGATGGTTTACAGCTGTCTGTAGTAACAGTTTCAGGGGATCCGATGCCCTCTTCTGGTCTCTGTGGGCACTGCATGCACACAGTGTACAGACATACATGCAGGCAAAATACCCATACACACAAAATAAATAAAAACGTAGATTTTTAGAAAATTAGAGAATTTTAGTTTCTTGGAGAAGTCATTGCATTTCTAGTGAAATTTGTAAAATACTTGCAGCTTATTTTAAACATAAAATATAAAATAATATCATTTGTTGAAATATAGTTGCATATAAATTTGTCCCCATATATCTTGTTATATTTACCTATATAAAAATATGTACATGTCTAAATAATATACAGAGAAGAAACTTGATCTCCTCTTCATTGGATATCCTGACTTGTCAAATTGAAGTGTAGGCCTCAAAATTTTTAGATTTGAATTGCCAACAAAATTATGTTCAAATGGATTATATATTTTATATTTATAAATAGAAAGCATTGTGCTTCACCTTTTAATCTTTTGTTGAAGACTCAGGTGATCAATAAGAATATTAATTTTCAGGGGAGTGAGGGGAAAAACTATTGTTGCTGGGTAAGTTGATGTGGCACTTGGGAGGTGGAGGTGAGAGGATCAAGTGCCTGTCCAGCCTGGGTAGTAAGAAGTCCAGCCAAACTGTGCTAAGATTGAACTAGAAAAGCTGTGCTGTAAAACCTTAGGCAGCTTGATGCTTGTGAGGTTCTGTGTGTGTGCTTGGGATTTAGACTTGGTTGTCCGCTCTGACAGCTGCTACACCTTGAGAACGCTTGCATCTCCTCTTTTCCCATGATGGGGCCACCCTTTTGAATGGCTCAGTAATCCAGAAATGTGATTAAGCATGTCAGAATTTTGTTGGTTTGTATGATTCCTAGTTAGAGTTTCTCTGCACACAAAATGCATGAACCTTTAATGCTTTTACATGACTCCTGACTCTGTATTTGGCTTGTTTTGAACTAATGCTGACCAAATGGGAAAGGAAGTACTCATTTCTGTGGGTGTGGACTACATGACTCCATAGCTATGTGTGTTTCATATATTCTGTAGACACTTCATTCTGTGTGTCTTGGGCTTTTGTATGTTTTTATCTACTTGAGTCCATAAATTTCTGTTAATTCAGTTAATTTGACAGTACTTTTCCACAAAGAAAATGCCATTCTGTTGTCCAGGTGGCACATAACTCCTAGAGCTGTGTTTAGAGTTGCAAAGTTGTGAAGAATTTGAACTGCCTTGTGCATTGATGGATTCTTCAAAGGCATATGGCTTAAGAAAGGTGCTTTAATTCATCAGACTGTAATATTAATGAGTTTGTTTTTGTTTTTGTTTTTTGGTAACTGTGGTTGGTAGTGCAACTTTACTTGCAAAATGTGAACAAGAACCAGAAAGCTCTCAAACTTTTCAAAGACTAGCCCTTACTGATACTTCCTGTCTAGTATCCTTTAGGTAACAATGGCAGTATGCTTTTGAGGTAAAATTTTTGTTTGTTTTGGTTTTTCAAGACAGACCCTCTCTGTGTAGCTCTGGCTGTCCTGGATCTCGATCTGTAGACCAGGCTGGCCTTGAACTCACAGAGACTCACCTACCTCTGCCTCCCGAGTGACGGGATTAAAGGCATGCACCACCACGCCCAGCTGAGGTAAAGTTTCATGTAAAACTCAGCTTGCAGTACTTACAAGAGGAATATGTAATGTGATTTCTTCAATTATTAGTGCAAGAAAAAGGAATTTTCTATTGAATTAGTTGTAATAGCTTTTAAAAGTCATAAGAGTAAATATTTACCCATGGTGGTATTTTTTTTTTTAAATAAAAACTTGGCTTTCCTAGATTTTAAATGAGCCCTGATTTCTGAGTAGAAATCACTTTCTTTTCTCAAGGTAGCTGCATCTCTGTTGCAAGGGTTTCATACCATTGGTTTGGGTAGGTGGAGGGCCTGCCTCCAGATCCAGTTGGATTGATAAATACACTTGATATTATCAGAAGCCTGGTGCATAATGTTATTTTGAAGTTAGCTTTGGTAGTATGTATACTAGTGAATGTTCTTGTGTCAAAAACCCCTCCTTTGTTTTTCTTTTTTTTTCTTTTTTTAGTTTCTATGAAAACATTTTCTTTCAGTAGATTGTTTTCCATGAGTGTTTTCATTAATTTTATAGGTAGAACACTCTGCTGGAGTGTTGAGCAAATTATCACTTAATGCTTTCTCAGCCTTGAAAATTCAGCTACCCTTTTGGTAATTATTCATAGTTTGTTGTTGTAGAAAATCTAACTTCCCAAAAGTGAAAACATGGAATTTAGTTTATGTGATTTTATGTGCACACTAATTACAAACTCCTTTGCTGAATGAATTTTGGTCTATAAATGTGAGGAAGCTTATTACGTTATGGTTATAAGAGCCAGCACAAAGCACATAAATAAAATAAATAGCATGTTGTCTTTATCTTCAAAGGCATTATATTGTACTTCTAGCAAGTGCGCCCACGGAAAAGCAGCGTCTGGAATGGTGAGTAGTATGAGGAGGCTTTCCCCAAACGAATCTGATAGATAGCTCAGGACACAGGCGTGGGGGGCATCTGTTCCTAAAGAAGCCTGCACATTCACCTCGTCAGAAAGGCCCACAGCTCATTTCCTGACTGTACTTCGGTGTTGGCTTAGCTTGCTGGTATTTACTCCTGGGATATCTCTCGTAACTTTATAGTTGGATGAAGTTGCCTAGTTCTTTTGTTCATCCAGTGTGGCGTTTTATTGGTAGATCCTAAGTCTCTTTAGTTTTGTCTTTAGAGGAATAGTTCGATCATTTGAACCACTTTGGTATGTGTATTATATACAATATTTATATTACCTTTTTAAACGGAAACTTGATTTGCACATGAGTTTTTTTTAATAGAATCTGTTGTTAATATTAATGACATTTGTCCAGGGTGGGCTTGGTGGAATCAAAAATCCGCATCCTGGTTGGAAGCTTGGAGAAGAATGAGTTTATTACACTGGCGCATGTGAACCCCCAGTCATTTCCAGCCCCCAAAGAAAACCCTGACAAGTAAGCATGTTTCTAATTGAATCCCATTTCCCTATCCTTTCAACTTAGTTGTAGATACATTTATAGGCAGTTTGAGTTTGATTTTGGTTTTTGAGGCAGGGTCTTGCTTGTAGCCTAGACCAGCCTGGAACTTAGGATCCTCATGTCTCAACCTGGACCTTTGTGTGCTTACAGGTCTATGACACCATTTCCGGCTATAGGGAGACTGTGGCTGGCTTTGCTATTTGCTGATTATGTGTCTGCAGCTTCTTGTTGTTTGTTTGTTTGTTTTGGTAAAAATCCAGATATACTCTTGATTGTATATCTGAAGTTTGATTTTTAATTTGCTGACGTTTCTTTGCTTCTGGGTATAACTTTTGTAAAGGAATGTGCCTTAGTTGTCTTCCTCTTTCCTGGTTTATTATTTTTAGGTAGAGCATAAACCTTGGTGATTATTAATTTGGTACTTATATCCGTGTTTTTCCTGATCAGAAATATTACAGACTTCTTGAGAAGAATTAGCACTGAAATGAATTTGTTTTCTCCAGTGATAGTTTCTGCTGATGAAGTACCTTATCTAATTAGGTATTGATCCATGTATCTATTACAATTTTGAGTATTTTTCAACATTCCTTCAGTTTTAGCCAATAGTTGTAGGCTGTTCTCTCTATCAAACATCTATATTTGCTCTCTCTTTTTTTTTTAAAAAGGGAATATATTTTGATTTAAACTCGTAAATACCTGATTCATGATGGAATGTGGACCATTGCAAAGATTGGTAAATGTGTGACAGCAGGCTCACCTTTTTGTTTAGGGTCTTAGAAGTCAGGTGGTGCTTTCATTGGTGCTGTTTTACATTTGGAAGTTAGAACATTTGAGTGATAAACTTTGAAGAAAGGATGATCAGAAAGCACAGGTTAAGGGTCACTTGAGTTTGCTCTTAATTTAGAGTATTCTGATGAAATAAATTGATTTTTCTCCTTTGGATTCATATAAAGGAATTATTTGAATTTGATTTTTGAGATAGGGTCTTGTATATAGCTCAGTCCAGCCTCAATCTGGTGGTCTTCCTGCCTCAGCTTCCAAAGTGCTAGCATTACAGGTATGTGTTAACGACACAGTGCTATTTAGAAAGAATGGATTTGAGGGGGAGAGGACAGCTGGTATTTTTGAGACAAGGTCTCACAGTGTAGCCTTGGCTATTCTGGAACTCACTACGTAGACCAGGCTGGCCTCAAACTCACCAAGATCTGCCTGCCTCTGTCTCCCAAGTGCTGTGATTAAAGGTGTGCACCATCATGCCTGGAAAAAGTACAGGTTTTTATATGTAGAAAATCCTGGGGGAGGGGGGGTTGTTGTTGTTCTGTTGTCCCAGACTTTTCCAAAAAGCGTGCTTCCTTCCTGTACTCTTTTAAACACATTTAACAAATATGAATACCTTTAATACTTTAGACTCATTACAAACAACAAAAGTAAGAGTATAGTCTGGGAAGTTTGTTTGTTTGTGTAGTAATGGCTTAGATGACAGGTGGGGGAATAGGCATGTTTGATCGGATTTTGTCTTAGAATTTCCCATACACCTCACTTGCCTAGGTTGTCACCCCGTTGACGGCCATGCTCTCCTGAATCCTAATGGCCTGTTGTAATGTTCTTTGCAGGGAAGAATTTCGCACAATGTGGGTGATTGGGTTAGTGTTTAAAAAAACTGAAAACTCTGAAAATCTCAGTGTCGACCTCACCTATGATATTCAGTCTTTCACAGATACAGGTATGTCTGCTTGAATAATGAACATTTAAGTGTTTCTTGTTGTACATAATTAGTAGTGCTCTTTTTAGTGAGTGAGTGTTGAACAATGACCATTAACGTAATCTTAATGGATTCAGTATGTAGTATAAATAACTTCTGTGTTGAGGTAGGCCTCAGAGTTTGGTAGGACCATTTTAAATTTTATTTGGCCACAGTTCATTTGAGACAAGAAACAACCTACTTCAGTCATCTTGAAGCTTGGAAATTGATGAAGCTGAAATTTTGGTAACTTTGAAGACATTTAACTTATGCTATATTAGATAAAGTGAGTATTAACTCATGGACAGGGAACTGGGTAATTATGTCTATAAATCAAGTGAACTTGGATCCTTAGAGAAAGATGAGATGGTTTAGTTAAAAGTCTTTAAGTGGTAGATAGTGTTGTCAAAATCTTCGTGATTGTGTGTAGATGGACACAGCATTTCAAGGAATTTGTGAGCCCTACAGGTACACCAGTACATCTTCCTCTTTCAAACATCCCCCAGCATTTTCACTTTCCCTATTCAGTTTTCCTTTATGAGAATTGATTTAACTTTTAAAAAGGGAGAGGGAAAAAATGGAGACAATTGGTTCAAGAGTCACTTTGACATCAATTAGCTATAGTGAGGAGAGAGGTGATACTCTTTTCTGCTGTTTGACTTCCTGGAGTTTGGGTTGCTCGTGGTCACTGCCTATAAACAGTACATAGAGAATGTGGTGAAACTCATGCTCTGCTGTTCTGATCTGGCTGGGAAGTGATGAGCCCTGTTCCCAGCAGAACCACATGCTGCATGCTACTCTCTCTGGTAGTTACTTAGCAGTCTGTGTGTGTGAAGCAGTGCTGGGAGAGGGTATGCACGTTTCAAGGCATCAGTAGACAGAACTGATTGACACATAAGAAAGCAGAGAGCCAGTTCCCAGAGAGGGGACTATGCTACTGAGGGGCCACAGTCCTTTTATTACTGTTAAGTTCCTTGGTCTTGTCATGGGAATCCCATCAATGCCCATATCTTGAGAGGTGTGCAAACCTCTTCTTTCTAGTAAAAATTTACAGTGTAAGTTGTTTTTGAGACTGGCTATTTGTGTAAGGTAGCCTGGCCACTAAGATCTGTGAGACACCATGGGTCCAGCGTAAAATGGCCAGTCTCTCTAAAGTGGCTGTCAGTTCATCCAGAAGGAAAGGCCAAGTCCTGCTAGTAATTTCCAGTACATTATCATCTTCTCCCTCTATCATCTGCATACTTTGGGGCCTAGAAAGGTAATAAAGTTGGGGAATAATGTTCCCAGCAGGGTCTAGAGCATAGTTTGGTACTTATATAGCAGTTTGCAAGCAAGGCTTGGTTTTTAGGCAGCAAAGGATACAGGCCAAATAGCTACAGCTAGTTAGAATCAGGGCTTTCTTCAAAAATATTTTGTGACAATTTATGCGTATGGATGTTTTGCATACATGTATATATGTGCACTTTGTGTGCCCGGTGCCTGCAAAGGCCAGAAGAGGTTGTCAGAGCCCCTGCAACAATTATGGATGGTCTTAAGCTGCTGGGTGGGTACTGGGAACTGCTGAGCCATCTCTGTAGCCCCAGAATGTTTCCTAGCTGAGGCTTGCTGGCAGTCTTAGAAAAGCTCTGTGTTAGGAATGTAGGTGTTTGCAGGTGAGGAGTATGACCTTAACCATGTCCTCTTCCCCCTTGGCTTCTGTGGTTCCTGCTTAGGGTGTGTGGTGCTTGGGGTTTTTCTTCCTGAAAATATTATTGGTCCCAGGTACTATCAGTTCATCCTTGCGCCAAAGTCATTTGGTTTTGGGCATAGGGTTTTGCTTTGTAGCTTAGGTTGTCCTAGGACTAAACCTGTGCTGTATTTCTGTCTATCCCCTATTCCTCCTTTCTTCATAATCCTTCTCTCCACCCGACTGAACAGCCTACCTTAACCCTGTTCTCTGCTCCCCACTGCGTTCTGCAGCCTACTTGTACCGTTCCCGCTTTCTCAGCTGCCACAACACAGTTTAGAGCTGTGCAACCAGTGTTTGCTGGACCACCTGACTGAATTTCCCCCTTTTTCTTACATAGCCCAGACTGCTCTTGAACTTGTTAAGTAGTTTAGGGGTACCTTCGATTTAGATCCTCCTGCCTTCATGACTAAGTGTTGGTTTACAGGTGTTGGACCACAGAACCCCACTCGAGTATTCCCATTTTGAGGCACTGTGATCTGAATAATTTGTACTTACTTGTAGCATTTTCTTTTTGAGCCCCTATGAACCCCACCAGTGTTTATTTTCCATAATAGAAAACACATTATTTACAGTGAAAATAATTTTCTTATTTACAATTTGTGCTTGGTTTGGGGTTTTTTTGAGTCAGGGTTTCTATTATGTAGCTCTGGCTGACCTGGAACTCACTGTGTAGACCAGGCTGGCCTTGAACTTTCAGAGATCCATCTCCTACCTCTGCCGTGCTAGGATTAAAGGTGTGCCACACATTGCCTGGTTTTAAGTTTTTATTTAAATTATTTGTATCTGTGTGTAGAAGTGTGTTTGAGAAGCTGTAGGTGTTCATGGAAAGGGTGTTTTGGATCCCCTGAAGTTGGAGTTACAGGTGATTGTGAGCTGTATGACATGGGTTCTGGAATCCAAACTGAGGTCCTCTGCAGGCGCAGTACTTACTGGTAACAGCCAAATATCTCCAGCCCCACATGGCTTGTGAGCTATCTTCAGTGTGGCTCCTTTCTGTTGACCTTTGCTGTGTTGCAGATGGTGTTTTTTAGGATTAAAGTCTGAGACTAGGTGGCTAATGGAGATAGGTACATTTGGTCAGAATACTTTGAATTCTGGTGTTTCCTAAACAGTTATTCTTGATGTTTATTAGCATCAAGTGGTTCTCAACCTTCCTAATGCTTTACCTTTTAACACAGTTCCTCATGTTATGGTGATACCTAAGCATAAAGCTATTTTGTTGCTACTTCATAACTAATTTTGCTACTGTTACAAATCATAATGTAAATATCTGATGCAACCCCCAAAGTGATCACAACCCACAGGTTGAGAACCACTGACCTAGAGAGCTAGTATGCTAAAGAATTGAATGTTGTTACATACATGACTTGCCTATCATTGGATTGCATCATACTAGGGGCAGGTGATAGGAAAGGCTCCTCACTTATATTACTTTCTTCTGAATGAGTTTAAATCAGGCCCTTAGTAAAATGCTTGGGGTTTTTTTTGTTGTTGTTGTTTTGTTTTTGTTTTTTTTTTTTTTGTTTTTTTTTGTTTTTGGTAACAATGTCTGGTTGTGTAGTTTATAGACAAGCAATAAACAGCAAGATGTTTGAGCTGGATATGAAGATTGCAGCAATGCATGTGAAAAGAAAGCAACTCCATCAGCTGCTGCCTAGTCACGTGCTTCAGAAAAAGAAAAAGGTGAGTTAGAAAGGAAGTGACAACACCACCAATATGTGCTTTGTGCATTTTGCCTGCGGTGTTTTAGAACGCATGTCCATTGTGGTGTAACTAGAAATTTGTATATTATGCTAGATTTGGTGCTTGCCTGTAATTCCAACTACTTGGGAGGAAATTGGGAAGTTGAGACGGGAGGATTGTCTGAGCCTGGGGACTAAGGCAAACACGGGCAGTATGACTTTTTTTCCTTTTTCTTTTTTATTTTTAAACAAGATTTCTCTGTGCAGCCCTCACTGTCACGCAGCTTATTCTGTAGACCAGAGTGGCCTCCGACTCAGAGATCCTCCTACCTCTGCCCTTTGCCTCTGGAGCCTCGAGATTAAAGGTGTGCCCCACCATGCCCTCTTCTTCACGGGACCTTCTCTTTAATAAGAGTACTAAAAACAGCAATACCTTCTGGTCCTGTCGAGGCCATCATCAGTGTCCTGCTTACAGAGACTTTGTACTGATTGATAACACCTGTGTTTATAGTCCTGAAGATGGTTCACCTACTTTCCTATTCTAGTTTTAAATTTATACTGTGTGAAAGTATATGCGTAAGTAGAGTATTCACTTCTCCTTTTTCTTTTCCATATCAGATCTGTAGTTAAGAGGTACATGATTTGTTGATGAGTGCTTTTCAGTAGAAATCATGTAAATTTGAGTGCTTAAAGACATTTAAATTAAACTTTTCTTGGCTGCAGCATTCAACAGAAGGAGTCAAGTTAACAGCTCTGAATGACAGCAGCCTTGACTTGTCTATGGACAGTGATAACAGCATGTCTGTGCCTTCACCCACTAGTGCTATGAAGACCAGTCCGTTGAACAGTTCTGGCAGCTCTCAGGGGTAAGGAAAGAGCTGGGAGGGGATGAAGTGCTTGTTTTCACACTAAATACAATGGTGGATTCTCGGCTTACAGTCTTATTTTTATTCTAACTTTTGATTTCTCTAAATTTATTTTTAATAGTATTTTGTTGTAGTTGCTCTGCCTTGTCCATAGCCCCCTCTTTCATCTCCTTTGGCCTTTTTTTTAAAGTAGCAGTGTTAAGTTTTAGTCTGAGGGCAGTAATTTTTAGTTTTGTCCCCACTGTCCGTACTTGAGTTTGACTTTGTGGACCAGTGTGCCTTGGTTTAAGACTGTTGGTGCCTTCATCCCTCCAGGGTTACCTCTTTGAGAGTCCACAGGGTCAAAGAAAGCAGCTTGTGTATCTCTGTGATAGTTTTGTCTGAAATCCTGTTATTGTTAGAGAAGGTTAAATGCTTGCTCTGAGTGTTTTTGGGAGGCAGAAACAGGTAGATCTCTGTGAGTTCGAGGCCAGCCTGGTCTACATAGTGAGTTCCAGGACAACCAGGGCTACACAGAGAAACCGTGTCTCAAAAAACAAAAACAAACAAAAAATGGTAATGTAATAATTACTTGAGCAGAAAAGTTGAAATGGAAGAGTAGAAAAGTGATTTTTCTGAGATGAAGATGTACCTGGATCTAAGACATGGAAGGCTTGCCCAGTGATGAAATAGCAGGAGTAGGCAGGACTTACACTCATCTTCTCAGAGTCATTCTTTGATTAGTCCTGACTAGTGACTTTGTTCATGAAGTACTAAGTAAGGTTATTTGCTGAGATGAGAGAACACTGCAGAGAGACCAGGGGTTTAAAAAGGGTTTAAAATAAAATAGTAGAATAGCTTCTTGAGAGTCTTTATTGTGTACCTAAGCCAATAAATGAGCTTTAGGATTTCTTTATATCTCTATAGGTTTCTGTTTGTAGACATTTCTCAGACCTTTCTTTTTCTTACTCCTTTTTATAGCAATCTGTCACACTCAAAGAGAAGATACTTTAGGATCAAGATAGTGATTAATCATGTTAGACAATTTTCAGATTAATACGGAGTCAAGTTAAATATGTGTATTCTCACTGACAGATTAAATATTCCTCTTACTGTCCATATTTAAAGTGCAGAATAGCATCATTTTTGTTTTTAGAAGGTACTCTTTTTATATGAAGTATATGCCATAAGATTTATATTTATTTATACTGGTATATGTATTTTATATGCTTTTTAATTGTTACAAAAGCATAGGGATCTAAAACCAAACAAACAGATCTGTAGCATATGCTAACATTTATAATTGTTTTAAAAATATTCTGATTGACCTCTCCTTCCCTCTTTTTCCTCTCCTTCCCTTTCTGTTTCCTGTTTTAGCAGAAACAGTCCTGCTCCAGCTGTGACTGCAGCATCTGTGACCAGCATCCAGGCTTCTGAGGTTTCTGTGCCACAAGCAAATTCCAGTGAAAGCTCAGGGGGTAAGAAAAAGGTTTTGAATTTTATTTATGTTATGTGAGTGTCCCTGTTTGTCTATTGTGGGAGCCTGTTTTCAGGTTCCTCATGGCTTTACTCAGCAGGTCTGCATAGAGAGGATGATTAGGACCACGGGCCTGAGTGCAGGTGTCTGAGATGGTCTGCACTTGGCTGTGCTGGGGGAGGAGGTCTTTTGCTCCACCCCTTGGCGTCTCTATAAAAACCCTGGGGCAGAGACAGTCGGGGCCGTTGGAAAAGGTTCCAGGCCCTCTCGAGGCTATCCTTTATTTTCTATCTGTTTATCTCCGCAATATTCTCCGCAATAAATCCTTCTATCTAATATTTCCTGCTGCTCACACTCAAGAAAACTCTGGGGAGCTGTGGGGTTGGTGGGTAAACGCCCCACAGTCTATATGTGCACTATGTGTGTAGTGTTCTCAGAGGTCTGAAGAAGGCGAAGACCTCACATCCCCTGGAATTGGAGTTAACAGATAGTTGTGAACCTCTTCATGTAGGTGCTGGGAACCAAACTCTGGTCCTCTGCCACAGCATTGCATGTTCTTAACCTCTGAGCCATCTCTCTGCCCCACCCCCTTTGTTTGTTTTTGAGGCAAGTTTTAGGTTAGCCCAGGCTAACCTCCAACTTCATGATCCTCTTGATGCCACCCCTTGTGTTGTGAGGTTACAGGTATGTGCTTGGTACTTGGCTTTTAATAGCTTATCTAAAGTTATTCACGCAATGAGTTAGGAGGAACAAGCTTTCTTTGTAACTTGATGTTTAATGATTTATGTGCTCATATCTTTGCTGTTTAGGTCCATCGAGCGAAAGCATTCCTCAAACTGCCACACAGCCAGCCATTTCTCCACCACCAAAGCCTACAGTCTCCAGAGTTGTCTCCTCAACACGTCTAGTAAACCCATCGCCTAGACCTTCAGGAAATGCAGCAACAAAAGTACCTAATCCTATAGCAGGAGTCAAGAGAACGTCCTCACCCCATAAAGAAGAAAGTCCTAAGAAAACCAAAACTGAAGAGGTATATGTGCATACATAATACACGAAAATACAGGCATGGCAGCCTGGTTCACCTGCTGGTGGGGACCGCTTTCAGGGAGACCCTGGGGCATCTGTTGGGCTTTGCTGCAGCTGGGCTTCACTGCAGTAGGGCTCCACACCTCTCCCACTCTGGGTAGCTGCCACATCTGGCAGTAGTCTGAAATACACAATCTATTCTAATTTATTATTCTCTAGTGACTGCCTAATTTGTACTGACTTTTTATGGCTCTTTGGACAATGTTTTGCCTTTATCTCAGATAGAGTTTTATATTGTAATTGGTGGCAGAGGGTGACTGAGCACTAGCTGACTACTAGGCATTCCTCGGAGGGAACGTAAGAGTTCACTCTGTTTCTGAGCTGCAGCCCCTGTCCTGCAGGGTTTACTCTAACTGAACAAGTTGCAAAGGCAGATTAGTTTAGGGCCACCAATCTCCAGGAAGCCTCTCATTAGTGTTTAACAGTCCAGTCAAACCAACATTGAGATGCAAGTAGTGTTAGGAAACTACTGGGCATTGTGTCACCTGCTTGAGTCCTTGAGTGGTTTGCGGTCCTGGAGGTGGGCGTGCCACACAAGCACTTGGGTAGCATCAGTCTTAAAGTAATGGTAGTTTTGTTATGCTCTCCAGAGTTACTCTCATGTTTTTTACTCTTTAGTAGGACAGTTACTGTTGCCTAGAGTAGCAGTCTCCAGTTACCAGTTTCGTGATGAATTCTGCTCTAGAGTTTATTATTTAGAAACTTCCTTAGAATAAAAGAAAGAACTGAAGTTTCTCTTGGGAGTCCATTGCACTTTGATCAGTACTGGTAAAATGTTCCTAATCACATGCCTTTGTTTTAGATAGAGATATTTACAATTAATGGAATAACTTAAGTGTTGTTACTCAAGTTGCTGATTAGAATGAAGAGGTTCTGAGAACTGATGTGTTTGTGGTGGGGTGGGTTTATTGTTCTTGTTGTTTTGTATGTGGTGCTAGGATATAATCAAAGGCCTTAGGTATACTAGGCGGGGGCCCTCCTACTCAATTACATCCCTAACTCCTTTGTAGTAGCTTATTCTTTTAGAGTGTTTGTATTTGACTCCTGCCTTAGTCTCCTAAGTGCTGGGTCTTGTTATTTGTTTGTTTTAGGTAGCTGTATTAAAGACCTCTTAATACTCTGCATCAGAGCCCTTCTAGGAGGTAGGTTTAGAAATTGGCTTTTGAGGCAGTCTCAAAAACAGTACTTCCAGGTGGTGGTGGCAGCACATACCTTTAATCCCAGTACTTGAGAGGCAGAGACAGATGGATCTCTCAGTCTGAGGCCAGCCTGGTCTACAGAGCTAGTTTCAGGTCAGCCAGGGCTGCTACACAAAGAAACCCTGTCTTGAAAAACAAAAAAACCCTGAAAACCAGTGCTTCAAGCTGGCCTCAAATTTAGGGTAATCTTCCTGTTTCTCCTTCCTTAATATGGCAGTTATAGATGTGAGTCATTGTGCCTGACAGAATTTAGATACCTTTTGACCCTCATGAGAGAGTCTGAGTTCTGTGTGATCTCCACTTGGAGCATCCCCCACATGCTTGCCACTCTCTCTGTAGTTGCTGTGATCTTTGCTCACTGACCTAGAGAGGCCATCGGGGTATAAAAGTGTTACATTTGGTCTGGAAGACACAAAACACTCACAACACACAGTCCTTAGGTGCCTCTATGTTCACAATATAGCTACAGTTCTAATGAGCTCAGCCACTCTCTTTGCCTTCAATTTACTCTCTTTTTAAAGTAAGGCCTCACTCTAGCCCTGGTTGGCCAGGAACTCACTATGTGGTCCAAACTAGCTTCAAACTTGTGATATCCCTCATCCTTCTGAGTGCTCAGATTACAGGCGTGATCTTCCATGCCTGGCCTCTTCTCAGGCATGAGTTGTTTTAGAGCAAAATCCACTGAGTGTTAACTGTTACTTGTTGGAATCGTATATTAGAATTTTTAAGATCACATCTGGAGCAGAACAGGGTGGACACGCCTTTAATCCTCTGAGTTTGAGGATAGCCAGGGCTGTTACACAGAGAAACACTGTCTCAAAAAACAAACAAATAAAAACAGAAAACCACATCTGTACAAGAGAGTATGAGCAAAGTCAGATTAGCCTACTTGATACTATGATGTCCCCGATGGTCTCACTGTTGAAAGGTATCCTCTTGTTTAAACATGGGGCCACATAAAGGTAAGATGTTAAAATTACTTGGTGTCTTTTAAATGTCCTTTAAAATACAGGCTTCCTCCTTTTTTCTTAAATGTTTTTTTTACTTTATAAATTTTCTCAATCAAATTTCATTGGCTCCTTAGAACCTGTTAACATAGTCATAGAACTTTCTAAAAGTATAGGAGGATGTTGCTCACTTTGTTGGCTGGTTGCATTTCCCAGTGAAAGCCCTTGACACTCAATGTCTCTTGCACTTAACAAAACTAATTTTAGTTAAAAGTACTTAGCCAGGCATCTCATCATACTGAATTAGTAAGTCTATTACAGTATCACCCTCCTTACCTGGGTCATTTGTTTTCTGTTGATGTATTGGGCATGATGGCACATGCTGTAGTTTCAGCAGTCAGTGGAGAGAAATAGGAGGCCAGCATGGGCTTAATAGTGAGGCCATCTCACAAAAACTCAAATGGGAATAGTTAGTTGTCTTTGTCCATTCAGGTATATCGGAGGCATTTAGATGCTGTGAGGTTCATTTCAACTTAGTGTATATATTGTATCCTAATAAAGTAAACATGGTAAGTATGTTCTATTATATTTTATGGCTAAATTAAGACACATACATACTTAAAAAGTTTTAAAAAACTTTTGTGTATGTGGTACTGGGAATTGGACTTGGCCATTTGCATATATGGACTCATCGTATTCCAAGCCCTTAAAACTTTTGTATATGGAAAATTTTAAATATGTAGAAAAGTAATAAGTGTGCCATTACATTATTGTCACCCAGTCTCAGCCATTAACTACTGACCAGCCTTGTTTCATTTACAGCCTTTCTTCATTCAGGTATCTGATTTCAGTCATTAAGTATTTGAATGTGTGTTTACAGATTAGGACATATAACAGTCATAGCAGTGTATTTATCAAAAGGAGATCAATAATAATTCTAAAGAGTGACATTTAGTATTTGTATAGTTAATAGCAAATGATTGTTTTCAACTTGTGTGTAAGAAACAAGACCATTATTAAAATTAGTTTTTACTATATTCCTTTTTTATTTATAAGTCACCTGTGTTTATATGCTTTTTAAAATTTTTTCTTAAAATATTAGGGACTAAGGAGATAGATAGCCTTGCCTATGAAATGCAAGGACCCAGTACCATGTGAAAAGCCTGGCATGGTGGCACATGCTTGGCTTCCCAGTACTGGGGGGCAGATGGTCCCACTGAGGAGATTCTGCCTCATTAAACAAGGTAGATGGCTCATGAGGAACTGCACCTGAGGTTGCCCTCTGGCCTCCATGTGCACACTTATGCACATGCACCTGTGCAAATGTCTAATAAGTCTGCGAAAATTGAGTGCTAGCATAGTTTATAAGACCCACGGAGGACCTTACTTAGGCCCTGCATTCTTTTCAAATATTGATGCTCTACTGAGAAAGGGTGTGTGTTTCTGTGCACACAGGTGTTTCTGGAGTAGTTAAGCTTGGAAAAGTTAAAGGAAGGTTCTATATAAAATTTCTTGGTCATTTGGTATATTAATTAGTAGGCACAATGATCTTCCTTCACTGGGGATCCTGCTGTTCTCATTCTCAGGGTTGTTTGATCAGGGAACTATATTTTCCTTAGGAAAAGTATTTCATGAGCTTTGTGGTTTGGGGGAATGTACTTTATGTGATGGGGATTGACAAAAAACAGTTTTTATCATGTTTAAAAATCTTGGTGCTTATTAAAGCTAAGTTAAATTACTTACTCTCAAAAGCCCTTTTAAAAAGAGACTCTGTGATCTATTTTAAGAGTATTTCATCTTTATAGATTTGAAAATTCTTTATAAATTAAAGCATTAATTGGCATATAATCTAAATTTTTCATTTTGGAGAATAAAGCTTTTTTTTTTAAAAACAGGATGAAACAAGTGAAGATGCTAACTGTCTTGATTTGAGTGGACATGATAAAACAGAAACAAAGGTATACTGACTTAGCCAACTCTTGGGTAGAAGTGCAGACACGGTGAATTCAGGTGCCTGTTGCTGCTGTTGCACTGTTTCTTCGCTTGAGTGTGTGGGGTTCTCTTAGCACTGCCTTTAAAGACCTGTTGGTTCCTTTTTAATGTCAGTGTATGCCTGAAACTGATGGAGTAGAGCAGTCTGTAAGACAGGAACTTAGAGAAGGTAAGGCAGTAGTGTGGATCTGTGTTACTAGTGACAGTACAGTGAGTGTGGGCTGGGGAACATGGGGCCAGAAGGGCGGGGGTGCTTTTCACTCATAGATGCTAAACCTTTGGATCTATTTGCTGGATGGCTTGTCATTCAAGGCAGTCCATGAGACTTTGACGTCCACTTTTGGGTCTGACAGGGTTTGTTGAGAATAATGGTTTTCAACAGTCATTGGCTTGAATGAGGTAGATAGTGAGGAAGAGATTGGTTGTGTTCAAACTGAAAGACCAAGAAGGATGTATCTTTAGAAGTTGAAATATGTCTGCCAAAGGCTTAACTTTCCCTATTTAGCCAAATTTCAATGAAGAATATGTTCATAAGTATTCTTTTGCTGTCTTTAAGCTTTGTGTGTATGCATGTGTACCAATGCCTTTTATTTTCTATTTATAATGCACTTTGCAAACCAAGAAAGTACATTTATGTTATATAATCTGCAGAATGACTGCACTGGAAATTTTTTTTAATCACACCTTACCTAACCAGTTGCTTATCATCGGCAGTTGTTCCCATTAAAAACAAGTCTGCACCTTCCCACTGCAGCATTGCGGTATTGTAAATACCTGCCATTCAGTTATGCTTTTTAATCCATTTTTAAGAACTTGATACATGTTCCAAACTTCCTCCATTCAGTTTCATAGGGAAAGTAGTGATGTTTCCTGTTTTCATATTTTAGAAATATGTTTTAGTCTGTATTTTCACATGTGTGTATGTGTGTTTTATACACTACTTGATGAGAGTGAAGCTGCCACAAGGTGACACAGTTCACCAGGTGTTGACTGATGGCACTCATGGCAGAACCGAGGAATTGATTGATTGAGGAGGGTAGGAGAGACTGGAAGGAAAGGACAGTTGGCTACTCTAATTACAGATATGGGGCAATTTTTGTGCCTCAGAGTAATATATTTACTAACATTATACATTTTCTCCCCACATAATTAAGAACTTTCTTTGGGTTTATGTTCTGTTAATTATTGTCTGGGTAACAGTTCTAAATTGCCTGTGCATACCTTTAATTAGTAATTGTTAAAATGTCCAAGTTAGAGCTATTTGGGAACTATGAGCTGTTTGACCACACCTTATAATTTATATCTGAAATGGGGAAATGACCTATAACAGGGCTTGATGACATACTGTGATGTAATGTAAGTACATCTCTCTCCACCTTCCTTTCGCTAATTTGTCTTCTTTATTAGCCCATTTATACTCTTTGCTTTTTATTTACTTATTTTTTTTTTTTTAAATTCTCTCTTCCCCTCTCCCCATCCTTTGTCTCCCAGGAACAAGTTGATATGGAGACAAGTGCGATTCAATCAGAAACTGTTCCGGCCTCGGCTTCTTTGTTGGCCTCTCAGGTACTAAGTGCAAAAGCAAGGAGACTTTTGTTAGTGACTTGGATGTTAGAGTGGTATATTGATTTAAAATGAGTGTTCATGCTTGACTGTTCAAGTTTTGTTTGGGAAGTAATTGCTTGAAGACTGTAATAGGTTTCCTGTAGTTTAAATGCAGACAGACGCTGGATTTGGAGCTGCCACTCTGAGCTGTTAGGATGTTCTGTCTAGCTTGGAGTTGTGATATACACTGGCATCCCAGCTGCTGGGAGGCCCAGGCAAGCTTCAGGGGCGGAGACTATCCTGAGCTCTGTGTAGTGAGACCCCAAAAAAGGAAAAGGAGGCAGCTGTAGTGACTCCATTACATGGCACGTCTTTCAGATCCTTGACTGTCGTGTTTGTGATGATACGGCTGTCTATTTATAGGTCAAAGACTAACGGTGAAAACAAAGAACAAAAAATGGTTACGGCCTCATTGGCCAGGCTTCCAGAGGTTTTCATTCTACTTCATTTGTTCATGACGTAAGCATGGCTAGGTTTTGAGTCAAGGTCTCACTATGTAGCCTAGGAGCTCCTCATCTGCCTTTGGGTCCCTGATCTTTTAATTTTTAAGGTGTGTTCTATCTCATTTTAGTTTTAGTACTGATTTATTCAGTATGCACAGCACACAACTCTAATTGATTAGTGCTAGTGTTCTGCTGTGATCCTTCCTTATGCACATCAGTGATCTTATCTTCACTGATTTGCAAACCTTCATTTTGTTTCTGAAACAGTTGTTTTTTTCTTGAATCCCTTTAAACTGAAACAAAACAACACCAGAATCTAGGTCAAACTCGCGCACAAAAATCAGTGTTTTCTTGAAGTACTACTAAGTGGATTAACTGAGCAGTGTCCCTGAGCCAGATGCCGCCCATGGTGCTCTGCTGTGGCTCAGAGTTTGTGTGGTCATGGAAAACATACTCTTCATGAGTGTTAACGTCCACAGTCTACTGCTGTCACAGTGTTCTGCTCGGTTTCTGAGATCATTTTTATTTCTAGACCCTTTCATCAACTAAAATATATGAGAGGTAACTAAAATAACACGAGAAGTGTGCCTTGTATTGATACTCGGACACATTTACCTTTCAGCTCCCTGTTTTTGCAGTTTGTCATACTGAGAACATCCTCACAGCATGGCAATCCGTTGGTGTTGCCTTTTAAAGTATTTTTTTTATCAGTAGAGTTTTCATTCAAATGAACGGATTTATAAATCAGTCAAAGAAAAAACTACTTCAATTATGCTGCTTTTTAAGAATGCATCTTATATCCTGTGATGATATGGAAGGACTTGTTTCTGAGGAAGTGGTAGTGTCTAAACACAACATTGCTACATCTTGAGGTAATTACAGATGAATTGGTAGCATCTCCATTGCTTCAGAAAAATCCAGGGTTGAAGGTCAGAGGAAGTTAGATTGACTTTGACTTAACTGTTGCTGACACTGGTTGAGGAGCACATGAGACTCATTGTCTAATGCTCTCAACTTCTGTATCTCTTTGGAAACTTTTCATAAAACATTTTATGATTTATCTCTGTATTTTTGAATGTTAGAGATGCCTTGTGATATAATCTGTGTAATGCAGTTTTTTAAATTCCCTAGAAGTTGGCATAATTAAATGATTCAGTTGTATACAGTTAATTTTATAATTTATAGTGTCAGAAAAGAACTGCAAACTGTTGCTGCTTCTGTGTATCCTCCACATGAGGGCGCTCTAGCACCTCTTCTTGTTAGAGCTGTTAGTATCAGTTAACATTAATTATTTTATAGGTGATTATTAGTGAAGCATTCTGAGATTTGCATTTGAAATTATTAGAAGAGCTTTTGCTATATTGTGAAAATACTGTTAGTATTCATGCTATTTTGAAAATCTCTGCAAATGTGGAATATATGTGATTGTACTAGTTATGTTTATTTGTATTACATGTTATACCATTTAGAATCTTTTTTTTTATTTGAATACTTGCCTCATGATAAAGCTCCATCTTTTCCTAGAAAATAAAGCAGTGGGAAATACATCCCATTGTAAATTTCAATGTTTTAAATCATGATGTGTTCTTTGCTTTCATTCTCAGAAAACATCCAGTACAGACCTTTCTGATATCCCTGCTCTCCCTGCAAATCCTATTCCTGTTATCAAGAATTCAATAAAACTGAGACTGAATCGGTAAAACCACCTCAGGGTCCATAAACAGTATCTGCCAACTCAACTTGTTGTCTTCAGATGCTAAAAAAAAAAAAAGAAAAGAAAAAAACAAACAAGGAGAATGGAAGGTACAAGACTAGACGTGACTGACAGTGGATTTAGGTTTTTGGTGACCTCCCTTACTTGGGCTCATCAGCACTTGATCAGAAGTCCAGGTTAGTATGCGAAGCCAGGAGTACTATTATTATTGTGTTAGCAACAGTTGCATTAACTATTTCAGAAAAATTACTGCCTTTAAGAAGGAAAAAAACAAAACAAAACCCTCAAGCTATGTTTGTATCCATAATTGACATCCGGATTGGGTTTATGTGTGATGCATTGTTTGGAAAAATTGCAATACAAACTGGCATAAGAATTCCGTATTCTGATGATGCACTTTTATGTATTTTTTATTAGAACGTAGAACTAATTTTAGATTTTTCAGCTTAATGGATTTTCAATTTTTTTTTCCCAAAGAATTTTCTTTACAATTAGTCTTTAAATTGGATACCTTGTGCTGCGGTGTACTGCTCTGCCTCAGAGGACAAGAGGACACCTAGTTCTGTCCTTAAGAGGCAGCTGTGACCCTTAGGGTAAATTGTCAATGCTAGGGTATACTTTGGACACGGAAAGAAGAATTAGGAGATACTTGGTTTTGATGGGGTTATAATTAAGAAATATATATTCCTTTTATTTATAGAGTTGTTTTATAGTGCATACAAATCAGCAGTCAGCCAACAGTGTGGTCCTTGAGCTTTCTGAAGCTCTCTGTTCTTTTGCCTTCAGTCTATTATCTTCAGAACAACAGAAGCTCTCCCTCTTCCCCCTTTTTGCCATTCTTTTTTCCCTTTTGCTTGTATGCACAAGGTAAGGCTTATTACACAGAAACCAGAATGCCAGTATTTTCCTAAGCCATGACGTGAAACCAGTGACCCTGTGGCTCCATGGCACAGAACACTAACTTTGGTCCCATGGCTGGAACTTGAGAATGACTGAAAGCCATACCTGTGAAGCATCTCCCAAGGATTGCCATTTGATCTTTAAGAGGATTTTTGTACACTCCACAGAACTCTGTCTTAGACAAATTGGTTTTCAATTTTAAAAAGTGGGCAAAAAGGCATTTTCTTCCAGATTTTTAAACTAATTTTTATTTTTAACCAGTTTATCAAAATTTGTCAGTGAATTTTACATACAGAAATATTTTAAAAATCATTTCTAGCAAGCACCTGACATTTAGTCGGCTCTCCACTTTTGAATTTTTTTTTTGTTCTATCAAAAAATTAGAAACCTCCTTTAAAGACAATAATTTCTCATAATTAAGTAGCAGAATTCTCGTCCATCTTTGTGACGTCTGAGGGATGCCAGATTTTGATAAACTTACTCTTTCTTAATCTGGATAAAGCAAACCTGTAGCAGCAGATCTTTGTGTGAGCATGGTTTTTGATCCTCTATTTCGCTGCATTCTATCACACATTCGTGCATTTTCATGTTCAACTGCAGTTACTTAAAACTCTTCCCTGTCCTTCTAAATGAATTTCTGAAGTGGAGTATAGGCTTCCCTAAGCTATGCATTAATGAAGGCTTTCTTTGTAGCACTTACATTGTTTATAGACAGTCTTTCTACTCTCCACCCTTGCTCTGCGCCTCCTTCCCTTCCTCCTCCCACCACTGAGTAAAGACGACGGTCCGCTAACAGGTGACATGTAACGGTGTCCGTGTGTGTAGCTTCAGAGTTAGAGTGACATCACCAGGCACAGATTTAGTCTTGTCATTTTGTTTACACATTGGGGAAAAATTTGGTTTATTTAATAAACGTTCCATGTAACTGCATCCAAGTTTCGCCAGGCTGGAGATGTGGATCTTTTCTGTGTAGTGACTTTTTAATTCTAGTTTTCATAACCTGGAGATCAGACTGTTGCTTTCGCATGATGTAAGTAGTGTCTCATGACTGGAGTTTGCTTTGTTTTATAGTATCTGTACTCCTTGTATTTTTCAAGAGCTATTTTGTAAACAGATGATGTATTTCTCCATTGAAAACACAATAAAAAAAAAAAACAGCACAATCCCACAGTTGGCTGATTTCTTTTGACTGTGTCTCCCTCTCCCTCCTGTGATATAATTGGTTTACTTATAACTATGCAGTTGGGCTCTAAGTGAAGATTTGGAATTTAGTGTGCTTATGTTTGGCAGATTGGTTTTAGATTTGCAGACCTCTACTAACTCATCTCCCATGGTGGCAGGTGTTTGCCTTTCACATGATTGATCGTTGGGGAGGGAAGCGTGAGTATAGCTACCACCAATTCACTTTGAGCAATCCACGCTCTGCGGTAGTGCTCTGCCTGGACTGCATACTGTAGATATCCAGTGTATTGGTGCCTATGGCCTGTGCACTCCAGGCTCTTTCACAGGGCTAGCTTTCAAAGCAGTTTGCATTTCCCTCTGCGTCAGCAGATGGCACTGTTGCTTTTCAGTACATTTCTAATTGTATTCTACAGTCAGCTTGAATCTTGTTTATTTTAACTGAATCAAATTCTGGCGTTTCTTTAAACCCTCACATTGTATGGAATAGAAGTGGACTATCCTTTGGGTTTGTGATAACTAACTTTTAGAGATAGGATTATCTTAGTGTCTTAGTAGAGAGACTATATAAAAGCCATTTTCCAAACGGTTAGCAGCTGTGTACATTCATCCCATCTCTAAAACTCCAAATTCTTAGAAGCTTCCTTAACTATATGATTTCAGGGGGTGCTTCTTATTGACACAATGTAAGTTTGGGACTTATTCAGCAAAAGTGAAAATGTGGTAAAAATTTTTGGGACTCCATCGCCACAGAATTGAGCTTGCCTTGCTCCTACCCTGGTAGACAACTAGCCACGGACTGGACCCAACTCTCTGAGTTTTGTCACCTGTGAGGTCCATAAGCATTTCCTGCATCTTGTTCAATTAATCAAATGATAATTGAAAATGTTTTGTGGCTCGGGTAAATTCTGGAATAAAACTTTTATATTTTCTAATTAGTCCCTCTGTTTTTTTCTCTACACAGAAAATATTTTAAACTCTGCATAATGTTAATTCTGGCTGCATCCAAGGTGGCAGCAAATGATGAGCACCTCCAAGTAGTAACTGACATATGAAAGGACCAATCACTATTGCACACACTGTAGGCTGAACCGTGCGACCCTAGTGTGCTTGCGTGCATTTGAACAGAACGGTGAATTGTTTTCTAAAGGCATTGCACACACATTTGGATCTCTTGCCTATTTTAATTCTAATAAAAATGAATAGTACAATGAAAATAAGTTGCCTTTTGGCTTGAATTGTTATGTTTTATTTTTTAGTTCCCACTTCTGTTAGCTTTCTTCAAACCAAAACCACAAATAGATGCTGTCTTGACTCATGCCTGAGCTCGGGAAATGAGATACTGTCTTGTTCCATGGTAAACCTGGCCTTCAGGTGTGTAGAAACAAGTGGTCTAATTCTGTGTGATATTTCCTGTGTTTGTAGAACCAGTTCCCCCTCCCCTTTACCAATCTAAAAATTGTTGCCAAATTTTCCTCCCTAAGTTTAATGGTAGGAAAGAGAAAGGTAAAGGATTCTTACGTTGTTGGGCACACTGTATATATTAATTTGATTTACTCTTTTATTTGTTGGGTTGGGGACAGAACCTGGGTGTTCATATGGCAGGTGAGCACTTCCGAGCTGTACCCCACAACACTGTGATCTTGAAAGAAGGTGCAGACAGCACCATTGTATGTGGCTAACAGCCATGGAGACTAACAACAGGATGTGTGTGCAATCTTAAACCTTCGTGCTTTAAAAAAAACACCTTGTTAGAGTTCATAGAACTTGACTGGCTCCAAGTGAGTGATGGTGTGTCTTTTTTTTTTTTTTTTTTTTTTCTTCTAGAAGTGACTCACTTGGGGAGTCACTTTGGTCTTACTGTGTTTTTCTTCCTTGGAGATACGCTTAAGTCTCCTGTTCTGCTAATACCCTAGTTGCTGATCAGATGTCACTGTTTGCTGAAAGGAATTAAAGCACACTTTCTTTGTCCTTGTCTCAGTCCTAGGTGCTTTTTATTTATTTGTTTTCTTGTTTGGGTTATGTCAGCATTTATTGAACTTCCGTGAAGCCACCAGGACACAGGTACCTCCAACACCTCCTAATCTTCTCTTCAGCTCCTCTGCTGAAGAATTTGGCCTTCATGATGACAGGCTGCTGAGGGAGCTTTCCCCTCCCCAGAACTTTGTAGCAGCCCAGTCTTGATTGCAGTGGTGACCTGTGTCTGCTCACTGACCAGTGTGCAGTGTATCCAGGTTGGCAGTTGGGCAGGAGCTTTGGTTCCTTGTTAAGTGGTAATGCCTCGGACGGGCTCTCCCAGAGTCACTTGGATGGTGTTTGTCTGAGTTGGTCCTGTGGGGATGCTTGCCTCCAGCATCCCCCGGCTTCCTGGGTTCCTGCAGTACTTAGCCGATGTGTAGCCCCACACTTCTGGGCCGCCTTCAGTCTGTATGGCACGGTATGGTAGCAGCTGGAAAGAACGATGGAGGAACCCTTGAGGTTTGCAACATAGCAGGTGTAGGGTGAGGCCTGGCCTTTTCGGAAAGGGTTGCAGCTGTGTTGGAGTTCGGACTCCGGAAACTGGTCTGTATGTCAGGATTGCAGCTCTCCTCTCCTTGTATTACCCTGTTTTCATTTGGTGAGTGCATGCCTGCAGTGGCTGTAGTAGCCAGCATTGATTCTCCGGCCTTAGCCCCCTGAGTGCTGGGGCCATGGCGCACCACCACAGCTGGCTCACATAGTCATTTGTCTGATGTAATTAGGGTGGTGCACTCACTTGGTTTATGACTTGGGGTATTTGTCCTCTCTGTAGACATGGTTGGCCTCAAGTTGCCTCAGCCTAGCCTGCTGAGTGCTAGGGTTGCTGGCATGTGTCACCATACCCAACTGACTTGTCAGTCTTCACCGTGGCTTTATTGGTTAATACACGTCATCTTATGTGTGTATGATACATATTTGTGAGTGCAGATGGATGGGACCCAGCACCTGTAGAGGTCAGAAGAGTGTTGAGGAGGCACTTCTGCTGCTGCTCTTGTCTCTTTCCCCAGGAGCTCCAGGGAGTAAACAAGTAATCTGGCTTGCATGGCAGTTACCATTACTTCCTAAGCCATTTTGTCCACTCCTGACTTAGTAGGGTGGGAAATGTAGTTAGATATGTCCAAAACAGCAATGTGTCTGAAAGTATACTTTTAACTTGGCTGTTTTGCTCTGTCACCTACTTTAGAGTCTCTGTATTTTTATTTTTAAGTGGTGAGAATGACTTTGTGAAATTGCTTATTAGGTCCCAGAATGGATGAGGCAAAGCTCAAAAGATGTGCCAGTTTGTATTTTACTTTGCTGTCCGAAAGGAAGAAAACGGTTTTGCCTGGGCTCAGGCTCTCCGGTATCACTTTAGTCTTCTAGTCTCCTCTGGTCTTCTAAGTCTCCACTGGTCACAGGCAGGCAACATTAAAACACACAAACAAATGGCATGATCTCAGAATAAGGTGGATCCAGTAGTAAAATAGCAACAGAATCATAAAAACCTCTTGTGAGGGTATCGGGAGTCACTGAGAGAAAGTATTACCAATAAACCTAACCTTTATGGTAGATAGGTAGGTCTTAGTTTGGAACTGGTTGTAGTCGGCATGGACCTGCTAGGCCAAGGGGCAGCTCTTGATATTTGGCACTTTTCAGAGTGTGTGCTCCATTTTAAGACACGGCAGGGATAGATTTGTCAATTAAATACTTGTGGATGTGACCTGATTTTTATATATTTATTTATATGTGTGTATCTCTTAAAATACTTTACAAGCCTCTTAGAAGCATTTCTCTTAATTAATTTATAAGATAAGTTACTTTTGATCTAACAGATTTCATACTGAAACTAAGTAGCGTGAATAATTCAGACATTCTCACATGGTGGGGGCTCTTAGGATTCTTGCAGACATTCATCTCAGTCTTGTGTGCTCCATAGTGGTGTCACATAGTCCTAAGACACTTTAGATTGAGGGGTCTTGGGAGGGGAACTTAGTTTTGATTCAAGGACATTTGGAAATGAAATGGTAAAGGTGTGTCTGGGCTTCTGGGTGGTTCTTGGCCACTGCGCCCCTCTGTCTCCATACTTGATACGGATATTTGGGGTTCATTTAGGATTTTAGACATAAGCAAGCTAGTCTGTATATCTTGACGTTATGAGGTAGATGTCCTGACTTTGTGTTTGTCTTGTAGATACTGTCTCTCTTGGCACAGCACCCTCTTCACAAACTTTCACACTGTGTAGTTCCTGGTGCTGTGTGATTTCCAGAAATCTGGCATGAGAATCGGTCCTTGTTTGCGTTTTCTGACTGCAGTGGAGCTGTTAATAAAGAGATTGATGATAAAGTTGTCGAAAAGAGACAGTTGGGCAGAACTGCTCCCCATGAGTGACAGAGGGCATGATCTGCCTTCACAGCCAAGAATGCCGCCCCCAGCAGAGAACCGACCGTGCCTGGACACGGTGCCAAGACTGTTGGAGCTTTTACTGCACTATTAGGCTCCTGCGTTTGTTTCCTTTGGATTTTTCCTGCCTTCTCATTTTTTAGTCTCAGGTTCATGAGATGTTCAGAACGACCGATAAGCATTGTGACCCCTTCCACTGCAAAATAATTGTCGTTTCTTATGAGTACTCATAATTCACCTTGACTTGACTTAGTAAATACTGTGTTTTATTCTGAAAACTGTAGTTTTTATTCTAGAAAGTCTGCTTTTTTTTTCCCCCTAGACTGCGTCCTTTAAGTCCTGATGAGGACTCACTGGCTGAGCATGGGTGTTGAATGTCATATCAGTACCAGTGTGACTCAATTCCCATGCTGCTGGGGAGTTTAGGCTGCTGGCGTTCAGTCCGTCTGCAGAAAGGTTTTAGCAAGTAGAATTTTGGCTCGTGTGGGCTTTTCTTTTTCTTTTGTTTGCCTTGAGTCCAGTATCCAGTAGCCCGTTGCCTCAAACTTGGTATTCTGCATCACAATACATACTACATATACTACTGTGCAT